CATTTTAATATGAATTGTTCAAAAAAAAAAAAAAAAAGAGATATATGTATAATGAAGTACACCTAAGTTGCTTCAGTCTAGTAAGTGTTCATTTTAAAATATTACTACCAACAAAAAAGTTATTCTCACGTTTACTTTATACAAATCAGTAAAGATTTCACAGCAAGACACATGATCCGTGATTTTTCAGAGTGACGCTAAAAGGCCCTGTACTTGCTAGAAACTATCAATCAGACGACAGTAGGCATGTAGTATATTGTGTACTACAGGTTTTTCAGCAAAGTTAATATAGAGGCCTTAGAAATGCATTTATCAAATATGATAAAGCAGGCTTTATAGGGTTAATTTATGTCTATTTTGTATAATAAATTTCAGGAGCTATGAAAGAGCAATCTTTGTTGTCATTTTATATGGGAATAATATCAATTCATTTTCTTGTCATTCTATCTTAGTGTGTTTTGCTTTTTTTTTGCAGTATTTTGTCCTGGTTCTCATGCATTGAAAGGTTCAGTCGTGTGTGTGTGCGAGTGTGTTTGACATGTTTCTGTGGGCCGTGCATGTGTATTAGAAATGTCAGTTTGTGTGAAATACACAGAACATCAAAGCTCAGCCTGTCTGCCTGTTCTCACAGAAAGAGAACCTGCCCTATTTCTGCACAAAGGCTCTCTTTGAAAGTTTCGAGAAAAGCCCAATTAAAGCAGAGAATTTCTCCCTGTCCCAGAGCCGGAGGATGCATAGATGAAGACAAAAGCATGTTCAGACGGCCACAATGACACAGCCTAGTGGGAAAACAATGGGGCTGCGTCTTTTCGCAAACTTGTAAATGCATTTAATAAAACGCTTTACCTTTCATAAGCTCGTGTGCTCTGTTCACGTCAAACTTTCGGGCACGTATGAATCTCAGAAGAAGGGAATCTGGTTGGTTCTCAAATTTTTCTTGCACAGCTTTAGCAAGATCGTCCCCTTTGCTTGCCTTTTCTTTTATCATGGCCCTCAATTCCTTTATGGAAGACACTTTCCTCTCCTCCGTTTAATTCAGTTCATCTTTAGCCTTTGAGATGGGAAGATGAATGCACATATATGTGTGACTAAAAGATATGTTATAGGCTTTCTAGCAGGGTATAATATTGTGATACCTTCTGTTTTGTGTGATCCGGTAGTTTCTTGCAGGGTCCGTAAACCGGCCCGTGGTCCTTAACGCTCAGATGTTCGAGTTTAGTGCATAGCGCCTGCTCCTCCTCAGATACCATACGAAATGTTCCGGTCTAATGGGATGAAAATGAAAAGAAAGGCTTATATTATGTGCCATGCTTGACAGAATCACAGACAAGAGGGTTTAAAGAAAGCTAATCCCGTGTCCAACTCTCAGTAAACCAGTGACTATTTAATAATCCCCATCACATGACCTACTGAAACACCTTGAGAAACGAGATTAGTTCATCCCATCGACTGCATTTAACAATAGAGGTTATTATGGAAGCTGAAAGAGTAGTTACTTACAGCAGCCATGATGCTGAGATCCTGGCTGAACGGAACTGAAAAGAAAATTCATATTTCACTGAACATCTCTAGATTTAATGATAACACTGGTTTAAATGGTATATTTGAGAGTTAAATAAAGTATAAGTTTACAACTTTTGCATGTAGATTCTTTTCCTTGTAAAAATAAAACCAAATATTAATGTAAGAAAGGTCATTCTTAGGATTAATTCTCTAAAAACAATTTCTAATCTTTGCTGCAACAATCTTCACTTTATTTATTAAGATGACTTATTGTTCAACATGCATAATTTAGTTACTTTTTAAAAATTGATCTTAAATATAATTAAAATTTTGCAGTTTTCAGTCTGTTAAACTTGATGTAAACATAAAAACAGAACATTCCGGAATTCACTGTTGCATCATATAATTAATTCTTGTAAGTAATTATTTAAAAAGATTAACCCACAAATGTAAATTAGTCATTATTAAAACGGCATTTTAATTTTTTTTCTGAAGTGAACATATGCTTGACAATATTTTGTTTGATAGTTGAAATAGCCTTTAAGCTTGAACATTTATTTGCCTTACAGATAGATAGATAAATAGATAGATAGACAGATAGACAGACAGACAGACAGACAGACAGATAGATAGATAGATAGATAGATAGATAGATAGATAGATAGATAGATAGATAGATAGATAGATAGATAGATAGATAGATAGATAGATAGATAGATAGATAGATAGATAGATAGATAGATAGATAGATAGATAGATAGATAGATAGATAGATAGATAGATAGATAGATAGATAGATAGATAGATAGATAGATAGATAGATAGATAGATAGATAGATAGATAGATAGATAGATAGATAGATAGATAGATAGATAGATAGATAGATAGATAGATAGATAGATAGATAGATAGATAGATAGATAGATAGATAGATAGATAGATAGATAGATAGATAGATAGATAGATAGATAGATAGATAGATAGATAGATAGATAGATAGATAGATAGATAGATAGATAGATAGATAGATAGATAGATAGATAGATAGATAGATAGATAGATAGATAGATAGATAGATAGATAGATAGATAGATAGATAGATAGATAGATAGATAGATAGATAGATAGATAGATAGATAGATAGATAGATAGATAGATAGATAGATAGATAGATAGATAGATAGATAGATAGATAGATAGATAGATAGATAGATAGATAGATAGATAGATAGATAGATAGATAGATAGATAGATAGATAGATAGATAGATAGATAGATAGATAGATAGATAGATAGATAGATAGATAGATAGATAGATAGATAGATAGATAGATAGATAGATAGATAGATAGATAGATAGATAGATAGATAGATAGATAGATAGATAGATAGATAGATAGATAGATAGATAGATAGATAGATAGATAGATAGATAGATAGATAGATAGATAGATAGATAGATAGATAGATAGATAGATAGATAGATAGATAGATAGATAGATAGATAGATAGATAGATAGATAGATAGATAGATAGATAGATAGATAGATAGATAGATAGATAGATAGATAGATAGATAGATAGATAGATAGATAGATAGATAGATAGATAGATAGATAGATAGATAGATAGATAGATAGATAGATAGATAGATAGATAGATAGATAGATAGATAGATAGATAGATAGATAGATAGATAGATAGATAGATAGATAGATAGATAGATAGATAGATAGATAGATAGATAGATAGATAGATAGATAGATAGATAGATAGATAGATAGATAGATAGATAGATAGATAGATAGATAGATAGATAGATAGATAGATAGATAGATAGATAGATAGATAGATAGATAGATAGATAGATAGATAGATAGATAGATAGATAGATAGATAGATAGATAGATAGATAGATAGATAGATAGATAGATAGATAGATAGATAGATAGATAGATAGATAGATAGATAGATAGATAGATAGATAGATAGATAGATAGATAGATAGATAGATAGATAGATAGATAGATAGATAGATAGATAGATAGATAGATAGATAGATAGATAGATAGATAGATAGATAGATAGATAGATAGATAGATAGATAGATAGATAGATAGATAGATAGATAGATAGATAGATAGATAGATAGATAGATAGATAGATAGATAGATAGATAGATAGATAGATAGATAGATAGATAGATAGATAGATAGATAGATAGATAGATAGATAGATAGATAGATAGATAGATAGATAGATAGATAGATAGATAGATAGATAGATAGATAGATAGATAGATAGATAGATAGATAGATAGATAGATAGATAGATAGATAGATAGATAGATAGATAGATAGATAGATAGATAGATAGATAGATAGATAGATAGATAGATAGATAGATAGATAGATAGATAGATAGATAGATAGATAGATAGATAGATAGATAGATAGACAGACAGACAGACAGACAGATAGATAGATAGATAGATAGATAGATAGATAGATAAAGTAATAAGTTTACATGACATGACTGAGAAACAACTTCAAATATGAACAACAATATTGTTTAATACAGCAAACTGACACATCATTAGATTTGATGGGCTCTGATACTATTAATATCATCAAGCATTTTGTCTGATTAGAGAGCAACAGTATAAAAACTGTGATTTTCCACAATAAACAACTGAAATACTATTCAGTAAAGTTAAAGATCTGCATTCAGTCAATTAATAAGTAAATGATACAACTAAAAGCTTGTTTTAAGTATCAGTCAGTGCACCCTGAATCCAGTCCCAGCATCCTCTTAGCCTGTCAGCTTAAACTCAGAGCAAGTATATGACTTTAATAAGCCTCAGAGGCTGTGACTTACCTCAGCCGAGGGAGATTGGGAAGTGCAGGGCTGGATGAGGGGTGCAGGCGGGCGCAGCTTACTGAGAGATTAACCTGTCACACCCCATAACTCACAACACATTCATCTCATCTACATAATAAACATTCACCAGGGGAGGGACTGAACCGGACCAACTACAAAACATCAGCAGGTGGACAAAAAAAAGAGTGTGCTCTGAACTCAGTTTTAAGACTTTTTTTGCTTTTAGTATGTAATTGTTGAGTTTATGATTGTGTTGAGGTCAGAAAAATAGTATGCCAATGCTTGTATAATAACTTTTATTAATAAATAAACATTATACAATGCACAACAGAACAGTATTTCAGTCATGTTTAAAATGATGTGAATTCAGGTTTCATTTCTAGCTATTTGAATGCATATTTACTATTGAACCGCTAAGCATTATATAATGTAACTAGATTTTTTACATTTCTATACAAAATGAGTGTCAGATGCAAGGGTGTTCACTGCAAAATGTTTTTCTTACTCAATATTTTTTATTCTAGTATAAATCTCTAAACATTCGTAAATCAACATACTTGAGAAGCAACATGATTTAAGATATGAAGTCTTGTTTACTGAAAAATTGAGTGAGTGTGCACTTAATATCAGTGGGGCCAGAAAAATAAACTTAATTCGAAAGGGAAAACACGATTATTTTTCTTACCCCACTGAGACATTTTTCAGAAAGCAAAATGTAATACATTGTCATTTTCTTTTTATAGCAAATGTATCTTGATTTAAGAATGTATAGATGTTTGTAATTTAAAACAAGACAAAAATACTGAGTAGAAAAACTTTTTTTTTTTTTTTTGCCAGCGTTGCTATTTGGTTGCTAGGGTGTTCTGGGTGGTTGCTGTCAGTCACATATGCTGTGTACACCAATAGTCCCATCTGACCTTGCCTAAGATGATGAAGTCATTTATTCTAGTGACCTCTAGAATTACATAAGCCCTTTATACAGAAGCCTCTGTTCACTGAATGAAGATGCACAGAACTACAGAGAGCTGTTGATGAGAAATGAACATACATACATACATTCTCTGTCATGCTTCATTTGTGATGCCTACCGATAGTGATGTTCAGTAAAGAACACATGAATACATTACTTTAGCAATACGACAAACATTCTACATATACTGATTAGCGAATTCATGATCTTTCATCAGTTTTTGACATTTGATCATTTCATATGGCAAGCAGTTTGGAGAATGAATGGATGCATGGATGGGATCATTTCTGAATTTTTTTTTTTTGAGGTCGTAGGCCATTAGTGCCTTTGAGAAATAAAAGAATAGAATTTTTAGCATGAATTAACATTTTATGATAAAAAATACCAGTGTGCAATATCAAGCAGTATAACAAACCGTTTCTGTACAGCGAAAATAACTGAAAGTGAATCACATCCGAAGCCTTGCATATTCAAGTTGTAAATGTCCATGCGCGTGCTTACATAAAGACTTTATTCTGGTGATCTGGATTCAAAAGCCTCAAATCTGTGCTTTGATTTGGTCACAGACTAGACTAGAGAAACAGATACAAGCTGCAAATACAACACAAGTTCTTTTTATAACAAAATAACCGTTCATTGTTGATTGCCTCAAAACATTGGCAGCCTAAATTGGTCACACAGACGGATTGTGATCTAAAAGGCTCTAATCCTGCGACCACTGACTGAGATTCACAATAACATTATTACACGCATTTTGTACTGCATTGGGTTTTACACTTTATAATCCTCACTGAGCAATCCTTGATGTTTATTCCCTCTTTAAACCCCACTGTTATACAGCGAGCACTTTTTGTAATTAAGGTTTTGGTTTGGCAACTAAAAATATATTATAAAAAAGTAAACGGTAAACTGCCATTTGGGAAATTGTGGTCCTGCTCGCCCTCGTTTCATTAAGTTACTTACTGAAAACTTACTGATCTACTATTTAAGCTGCTGCTTCTTCTTATGAAGAAGAACAATAACTCCTTCTAGAGCTTTAAAGCTACAACCACCAAACTCGGGTCAGATTTTCTAAATTGTCTGACTTGGTGTGCTATGACTTTTCTAACTGATACGACTTACGGTTTTCGTAAACCAGACTATCATTACCACCAAAAATCCCATAGACTTTCATTGAGGGGGTGAAAACTTTTGTACAATGAGACTTATGGTGTCTATTGCTATAGCAAAGCTTAACAACTCCCTACTGAAAAAAACAGCTAAAACCAGCTCAAGCTGATTGGCTGCTTTGGCTGGTCTCCCAGGCTGGTTTTAAAGTGGTTTTGGTCACTTTTTAGCTGGTCAGGTTGGTCTTAGCTGGTCAAGCTGGGAGACCAGCTAAAAGACCAACCAAGCTTAAACTAGCTAAGACTAGACAACCAGCCTAGGCTGATTTTACCTGGGTTTTAGCGTTTTATTATTATTATTATTTATTTATTTATTTATTTATTTTTTTACATTGAATCAACTGTTTTTTGCTTGTTTGTTTTTTTACTAAATCAGCTGGTTTTATTTGGTTTTAGATTTTTTTTTTCATTCATGTTAAAAACATGTTAACAACATGCTAGAACCAAACGTTAATCATGCTAAGAACATGCTAGCAAAACGCTAGCAACATGCTAATAATGTTAAAAACATGCTAGCAACATAGTAATCATGTTAGAATCATGCTAGCAACATGCTAATCATGTTAAAAACATGATAACAGTGTGCTAACAACATGCTAAAATATACTAACAACATGTAATCATGGTAACAACATGCTTATCATACTAGAAACATGCTAACCACATGCTAATCATGTTAGAGGCAATGTTAAAAACATGCTAGTAACATGCTAACAACATATTAATCGTGTTAAAACATGCTAATCATGCTAGAAACATGCTAGCAACATGTTAACATGTTGATCATGCTAAAACATGCTAGCCAATCATGTCAAAACATTCTAATCATGCTAGAAACGTGCTAGCAACACGTTAGCAAAATGTTCATTGCATTAAAAAACATGCTATTAACATGCTAATTGTGTTAAAAACATGTTAACAACATGCGAATCATGTTAGAAATATGCTATCAACATGCTAAACATGTTTTATAAAACAGATAGTTCCGGTCCTTGATTCTGATTGGTTGAGCCAAGTTTGAAGCTGTTGTAAATTACTCTACAAACATACATCTTTGTTTACATTTGTGTGTTGCTCGGCACAGCAACACACAACCGTTTCTAAGGAACTACATTGTTTGGCTGAAGAATAATGTTTGTATTAATATCATTACACTTTATTTGCTCTGTTTTATTTTGTGAAACCTAACTACGTATATGGAATAACCGTTTTATAAAAGCAATAAGCCCCGTGAAGCCGTGGTTTACAGTGAATTTATAACAGCTTCACGTCGTGCCGAACAACGCCCCTTAGCTGTTATAAATTCACTGTAAACCATGGCTTCTTGGGGCTTATTGCTTTAAAAGACATGCTAATAATTCTAAAATCATGCTAGCAACATGATAACAACATGCAAATTGTATTAAAACATGCTAACAACATACAAATTGTGTTAAAAAATGCTAGCAACATGCTAACCATGCTAAAATGATGCTAGCAACATCTCTCTAATCTAAACTTTCAAACTTCAAGCTTTTACAGCTGCTTCAAACTTTCAGGCTAGGCTTTCTCAAGCCAACTTCAAAGTTTGTTCTCAAACTTTACTCATCTAGTTCATAATTACAGTTCATGCTAACGATTTAGTTCAGGCTTCGGAGTGAATGGGGTTTTCTTCATGGTGGCGGGGTGAATTTAGGACAGGCGACAGGTCTGCAGAGATGCTTTCCATTCAGGCATGTGAGCACAAACCCGATAATGAGCAGAGGAGGAACAGTTCTTGTATGAGTCCATCACAAAACCCTGCTGCTCTGCTGCACAGGCACAAATGAGCGACCCTCCCTGCAGCCCACGACATTGTCTGCAGAACAGCTCCTCACTACATAGCATTCACTCATTAGTGGTGGACTTTGTTACCGTTTTATTCTGTGATTCTTTTCAAAGATACAGTGGCCCCCAAAAGTATTTGGACACGTACGCCACACTTAATGCAGTTCATTCAAAAAATGCAAGTGTCCAGATACTTTTTAGGGCCACTGCACAGGGGCTGGACTGGACTGACATGCAGCCATTTGTTTTTCATTTTGTTTCTGCTGTTTATAAAAGGTCATGAAAAATCAGCAGTAACATTTTTTTTTTGAGAATTTCTGTATTCTCTACAAAAAAAAAATACAACTTATTTTCTTTCATTCACCATTTATAAACTATTTATTGTGTAATAAATGCAGTTTTTCAGCCACCCAGAGTTATGTTAGTATCATTCTCTATTCCCAGTATGCATTATGCAACCATAATTCAATAAGTGGTGTCCAGTTATCATCTGGAATATAAAACTGCATTTCTATTCCAGTTTTGTGTATAAATGCTTTAATTTTATAGGCAGTTTGATTAACTAGTGAGCCTAGAGAGATAGTAATATTATAGGTGCATTACACTGGAAATGTGGATGCTGCACACTGGTGGTGGTTGAGGAGAGACCCCCCCACATGATTGTAAAGCGCTTTGGGTGTACAACAATACACAATAAAGTGCTATATAAATGCATCATTAATTCATTCATAAGGAAGGCTGAGCACACTGCATTGTGGGATACAGTTTCTCAAGCAGAGTGCTCTGATTGTATGCTGCACATTTGGACAAAATTAGCAGCTCATCTAGGAATTCTATGCATACTGAGAATTCACATACTGCAGGATACTATACACTGCAAAAACAGTACTAGTAATATGCAATTACGAACAGTCAATACTTTACCGACATTCTGTGCAGAAATCTGACATCTAGAGGCTAAATGTGGTATTGCAAGTTCAAGCTAAGGTTGAACCATGTTTCAGTTCTTTTTACTTCCCCAGACAGAGCATGTTAAAACAGAAAGCAAACTAAACGAATGCCAGTGAAGCCACTTATTGTACTTAAACATTAACTTCCAGAGGATGTAGTGCTAGTGTTTAGTAAAGGCCTTTA